GTGGGATGGGCGCGTGCAGCTGTGATAGCGCGCGACAATTTTGGGTACGCGTGTCGGGATTTGGGCGGTACTTATAGGCGCATCTGCACAATATTTGGCCACCAGTTGGGTGCGCCTCTTGACTGCGAGAGAGAGATAAGAGAACCGAACTTGGGGGGCAACTAGCAACGAATCCCGGAACCATCATTGCTGTTACATTGACAAAGGACAAAATTGACAGGCTAGCGGTTTCTTGAGACTAAAGATTGCTGAACGAAAAACCAGAGTAACCCTCAACCTGGAAGTCAAGCGGGCTGACCGAGTAAGGCGGGAGAGCAATAAAGCCGTTCAACCTTCTACGCAAGCCGGCCAAGGATCCATTGGTCACAAATCGAACCCACGGAAACGCTTCACCGCGCCGCCAGAGAATGTTCTAGCCTCCTTCCCATTCCTACAACGAAACACCCACATCACGGGGTTAAGCTGGCCACCGAAAAGTGGCCAGGTACAATATCCCTCCACTTCTTCCTCACCTACGCTTCAGGTCCGTCATGAGGTCCGCGCCGAGCTTAAAGCTCGCGGGGCCCTCCGCCTCCTTCGCGCCAGCCACGGTGCCCCTGACCTTGTCATTCCCACCTGTGGCCGTGGCCGCCGCCGCCGCTGCTGCAGAAGAAGTGGAATCGACCCTGACCCCCCCCACCCCATATTCCCTGCTCCGGCGCCTCCGCCTCCACGAAAAAGCCTTCTTCAGTGGTGATCCCGCTGGCCTCAACCGCGGTCCCGCGGTAATACCCGTTCCAAAGGCAGGGGAAGCCTCTATTCTGCTACTCCTCCTACCCCCCCTCCCCCGAGAATCACCCCTTCCCCCCCCTTCCCGCCGCCACGAAAACATCGACGTCGCTCCCCCTCGAGACGCCGCCGAAGCCGAAACCGCTCTCCTCCCGCCGGCCTGTCGGCGCCCTCCGCGCACGTCCCGTGTATCGTCGGCGAAGAGAAGTGACGGCCGCAACGGCGGCGATAGCGTAAAGGCGAGCGGGCTCCTGGCATCCGTTGCTGGCGACCGCCGCGGCGCCGAAGAGGAGGTAGTCGTGGACCCTGCCACGGCTGATGGGGGGAAACACGGCCAAAGGCGGGCGTGCACAGGCCGCGGCCGTGGGAGCGGGGGGTGGTGTTACAACAACGGTGCTCGGTCCGAATTTCAAACGCACGAAGCTAGCGGCTGAAAAAAATGTAGTTGGCTTGGCCGCGATGTCTGTTTGCTGGCTGGTTGGACTCTGTAATCGGCCGCGCACGTTGGCATATGTGCCTCGTACAACTGCTGTATACCTACAATGTACACCGACGTACTTCGCAGTAGTATGGACGTAGGGGGAGACGGCAACCGTTTCATGTGCAAGAGACATTTTCTGAACCTAAAGCTTGTCACTGGCCCCTGTTACTGTATGCCAGTCACCTGACGCGTACTACACAACACCCGGCCGTCCCATCATTCGCCCAATGCCATCGAGTGTTGTTGCAGGTTGTGTGTATCTTACTGGACATGTATAACTATACGGAGGAGGGCGTGGGGAGGCGACAACACTTTGCACGAATTTTGAATTTTGATGTCAACTGTACAGGAAAAACGTACAGGGTGGGGTATTGTACAACAGTGCTGGAACAAGCGTATAATATGGGGCCCAATGCTACTGCTGGAACAAGCTACACAACATCGTAGTTCCATGAGTGGGTGGTAAACAACATTCTGCTAGGCTACAAATACATCGTCTACAGCAGAGGTCGCATCTAACTACTGCTGCTTCCCGTAGCCTCCAGCAGTGGTCTCATCCTCTCATCTGCATCTACAGCAGCAAAGGTTTTCGAAGTACCGACATTTTCTCTGGGCTCTCGGGGTTGTTTCCCCAGAACCACTGCTGTGTCGTGAAAAGGTGGGTACACGTTTGTGAGACGTCAGCTACAACAACAGCTGGCAAGAAATGCTCCCAAGCACCACGCGCGGCAGCCGCTTAGCCTACACGTGTACGTGTATGTAACGTGTGCCACCTCCTTGTCTTCGCAGTGTGGCAAAATGACCCCGATTTCATCGGATGCCCAGCCTCGTGCACACTCGATTGGCCGTGCGCGCCAAACACACGACGTGGACGTTTGCACGTTTAACTTGCTAGCGCTGACTCTGCTGTAGAGGCGTCCTTATGTGGCAACACATCCCCAGGGAGGCTTATGCGCCGTTGAGGGCTCTTAAACGTCCACTCAGTCTTGATCGACCACACACCGCACGGCAGGAGATGCACTGCTGTCCTGTGTATCTGTAGTCGCTCCATGACCATCGTTTCGTGTTCGTCGCAGGTGCTATCAAACGCAAGAATGCTCAATACCACCCCATGCCGCCGTAAAGGACTCATGATGTTGGAGAGGATTTGTACCAAATACCTGAACGGTCGACGTCGCAAACGATAAACGTGTGTGTGCCACTGACTGGATTTTGATTTTTTAGGTTCACGCAAAGCATATCATGCGTAAGTTCGGTATAGGAGCGATTCGGCGTGACTACCATCGGTCTGGAGGCGGTATGGACAGCAAAAGCGTGATCGCCCACACACCAGCCCCCCCCCTACCTGTTCCCATGCATATTCCCATGACCGCCAGCTGCGTCAGGAGCTTGAGGCTGAGCACTGCTGCTGGTGCTACATCTGTCGCTGCTTGGCGGTAAGACCGCATGGTGACGCCGCCGCAGACGGTGCCGTTCTCGCCAACTGCTTGCTCCTGCGCGCTGCTCTCGCTTGCCGCTGGATACCGCAAATGCTGTCGGCGCTGGAACAGAGAGCCGTGGAATGGGCGTGGTTCGTCCCTGCTGTGTCTAGCGTCTCCGGAAGCGGCAGTGCGGATGCAGCTTTTGTCGTCCTTTCTCCCTTAAATGTTCAAACTGCGCGGAAGTTGGTTGCTGAACTTGGTGATCAACGTATTCATTTTCACCCCCCCCCACCCGTACAATTAAATTATTTGGAAAAATACACCCCTCGTAGTGAAAATATTTACAGCTGAAGGGTCCCCGCGTCCAGCGCCGACCTCTCTGTCGTTTACGCTGCCACGGCTATCTGCTGCGGCTTCCACTTCGGCACAATGAAGGTCGATGCCGCTAGCAGGCTGGTTCTACAATGCGGGATCGTGGTGGCCGTTGCGCAGGCCTTCGCCGTCGGTTGGAGCAGCAGAGGTAGGCAAGCAACGAAGGATGATTCATGCTGGAAAAGTCAAAGATCGAGCCGCCAGCCGCGGGACTGTTACGTTCCAACCTCGTCATGGGGCCGACGGTCCACTCACTGCCCGAAGATAGCGCTTTCGGTGCTTGCTGGCCATGTGTTTGAGTGTTTCAGCACTTGCACGTGCGGTTCGCTGCGGTTGCTGCCGAATCCAAGCCCATTCGACTCTCCGTTGACATGTTACCCTTCAAAACACAAGAGCTGACCGCAGCACTTACTTGTTGTGAGCAACCATCATTTTGAACCTGCGTCACACACACACGCGCAGGCGGCCAAGTATTGAACAGCTACATTAGAAAACAGCGCAATCAATTTTTTCGATCATGTGCTCCCGAAACCAACGCTGCATCCTCGGGCTGTCACACGTATTGCAATATATTTTTACGGTTTCCTTATTTTGCACTGCTGTAGACAGCAGCAGTTTGTTCATGTCTAGCTAGTAGAAGTGGAGGATAGGGGCCGTAGGGGCAGACGACAGACTCCAATGATGGGAGACAAAATGTGTATAAATGTATGTACGGCGAACCGTTTCGGAATGGTTTGCTGAGATATGTTCGAATACGGGTAGGCGATGGCGCGCTTGAACGCTCCTCGCAGGTGCCTCCTGCTTCTTTCGAGCAGTCTCTCGTTTTGTGGCGAGTTCTCGCCTGTGTGCCGCCTTGATGAACTACCGTCTACACGTACCAGTGGGGGGGCGAACAGGAGGCACTGGCACGGTCGTTTACGAAACTGCTGTTGGTTATCATTTTGTACATAGCGCACGAGGTTATCTCGGAACGCTTCCGTATGCTGTACAGCTTCATGCCAAAGGTCAAATCGAGAACGAATTCAGATCCTCTGGCCCCACCGCATGAAACTATCGGTCCGCGCGTGAAAACAGCACAAACATCGCGTTAAGTCCTTTGTGGCTGGGAGCTATTCTGTCCCATCGTGGTGCAGGCCGCGGTTTTCGAACGACGTCCAACAATATCGCCTCCACTGCGTACCACGTCCTCCCGCCTTTTCGCGTCATGCTTGTTTTATTTTACGCTCATCGACCATTCTAATAGCCTTCACGGCGGAGCACCGTCGACTAGGTCACGACAGCGCCAACACCAGCGCTCGAACCCCATCTCGATCGCGGCGACCACCGGCCGGTGCCCGCGCCGGTGTAGCGTTGTCGTCCGTGGCGGGCTCGGGCGGAGACGGCGGGGGGGGCTCCGCGGTGAAGGAAGGAGAGGGGGTCAGGGAGAAAGGTCGCACCCAGCGTATCATGGAGGCGATGCCCAGCAGCAAGCAGGCCATGGGAGCGGGGGGGTCATCCACGTACCAGGTGAGCGATTTCGCCCGTGTGCGGGTGCCCCGGGCCTCTCTCGCTGCCACGCGGATACGAATGACAACAAAATCACACGTTTTTCCCCGGTGTTACTGTTTTCGCGCTGTATATCTCCGCCTTCACTGTTGCGTAGAGCAGGTAGTCGTGGCGACCCGTTTTTGTGCGTTCGCTTAACGCAGCAACGCGTGCTGATGGTGCGCATATTTGTGGAGTGCACCCGCCGTTGCAGACAGCTTTGCCTTACGGTGCTCTCTTGCTTGTTTTTCGGGCTTGCGTGCTGCGCGTGCTTGTGTTCTTGTGTGTGTTCTTTTATTAGCATCGACCGCGCTAACCGGCTGGCCAATGAAAATACGTCAGTGTTAGTGCGGTTGAAAACACAAAACACTTCTATCTGCCATGAACTGGGACCCCGTGATAGGGCAGCATGGGGGTGTACTCATAGTCGTGCATGCCGTAGTCGTTAGACCGTTGACCTCGCATCCCTACAAAGCCGGGACGGAGCACGCCGGGTTCTCACCGGACCAGGCTCTCACATCACCAAGCGCCAAGCGCCGTGAGATATTCGGCGAGTCGCATGAAGGGTG